CATGCTGGTCTGCCAGGAAACCTTTACAATACAGTCCCTGGCTGCGCTGGGATTTTTCATGCATAATAAATAAAGCAACAGACTAGCAGACTCAGGTTCCTTGCTGAACACCAGTGCCCTCCACTGTGAACTCTGAAGATTCCTCCAAACACTAGAGCAACAGAGAGAATTTATGATTTTTCTCCTCATGACAGACTGCTGAGTCCCATGGGACCGAATGTCAGACACATGACTCTATATGCTGCTTCGTAGGGCAGCTGTGAACATCTAAATAATACTGTCAGCATAACGCAGGGATCCGTCCATCAGCCTGCACAGCCTGCTCTCCCCATTGGTGCTCACTCTGCCAGAGAGCAGATCTTTCATAATCTGTTACAGCCCTTCCTCAACTGATGCTTTACACAATAATTCAGTTGGAATCATGGAACTTTACTAGCAGTATGGAACCCTGCTAATTAAGAGGTAGTGGCTCACACATAGGAACCCTTCAGTTTCCTTATTAAAAAATATGGAACCAAAGTGTTTGGGATGGCATTAACACCACCACCATTTTAGGATGTGTATCGCCTCCTCCCTAAGCTTTGATCATACTTGTTTTTCAGCTCATAATTGCTATGTTCTTCCAGAACAGGAATATAAAAAGAAAATCTTAACAGAGTATGGAATAACAGCTTTTACTGCCCCTTTAACACTATTGCATACTTAATTCAGACCACTGGAGGCATGAGCTACCATTTGAGTGGAAGGATGTTTTATCCTAATTTCTTGTACAAAGATTATTCTTCAATTAAATTTAGTATTGGTTTTTACTCTCCAACTGCAGCTTCAGCAAGATGTGAGTGCCCGTGTTGTGATAGTTACAGCTGTGATTGCACACGAACCACGGAAGACAAAATCCTGAAGTTTGTTCTAATTCACACAAAACAAAAAAGGCAATGGGAGACAAAACTAACTCTCTTCTGGAAGGGCCTGTGATTTAGCAAAAAGCTAAGAGTGATTTTAAAAATGTTTCTTGACAATGCTGTTGCACTTAACACACTGAAACTCAGTGTGACCAGCCAGAACCTTCTTGTCTCTTCATATGTCACTTGTACTTCCATGTGCAAAGCACACTTATGGTTGGGTGGCCAGCATGGGCCTTTGGGGTTCATTTTTTATTGTTTTAACATTAATTACATGGTGCCCTCTCCACTACCATTAATCATGGGAGGGAAAGCAGTGCTGAGTAAGTAACCTGAAAAGGGAAAAAAAAAACGAGACAGAGACAAGTGTCAAGTGAGTAACAATGACATTAATCACAAAGCCCAATTTCTCTTTCTGAACACCACTGCACCACCACCACCTGCACTGACAGTACCTCTGTGGTGTGGGTCACTACATAGCAGTGTCCAAGTCAGAATTTGGGGACTGTCTCACTGAAGGATGTTTTAAATCCTCCATACAAGAAAATGAGCAAAAAAAGTCAGAATTCACTGTCCTGACTATGAAAATGCAAGAAAAGGCTTTTTGCACTATCTGAAGTAGCCACATGTCCCAACACTTATCCCCTTCAAAACACCACACCAGAAAATGTCAGCTTGAAAGATCTACATCTTTCCTCTTCCAAACAAACAAATTTCTCTTTGAAGGCTCTTTTAAAGTTGGACTTCAACAGAAACTAATTAGCTTTTAAAACAAGCAATTCTCCCTAGATATCCTCCAGTATCTTTTGTTTAAAAGATTTTCATTAATTTATACGGGTTGAGAAAATTACTAAAAGCAAGACCAAGAAAGGGATATAATGCATTACCAAGGCTTTGGGGAGACAGACTATAGAACTGTGATCCTTTTAATTATTTCTGTTTTGTTTTTTTTAACTACCTCCAGGAGGCTTGAAGAAGGTTCAATGGTTTAATTTTTACTAAAATAAGACATTTGCATTTGGAGGGTCTTCACAGCATTCTGTCCTGTGCCCTGTGGCTGCAGCACAGTCAGGGCATTGCTGCATTTAATAGCATCTCTACCTCTGCACAGTTTATATTGCTTGATTATTTAAGTTGCAGCATTGCATGAGCTACATGTTCTCTTAAAAGATAACTATTTTCTTGTACAAAAAAGGAGCATCAAAGTCTTACTGGAGAGTGGGTAGGAAACTGATAAGAGCCTTCTCCATAAATACTGTTTTTAAACACAGGCTTTTTAGGGTAAGAATCAAACCTTACCTTTTCAGTGTTGAAAACACTATAGACTCCCAAACCTGGAAAAAGCCCAGCGTTGTCACAGTGATTTAGTTCCTGTTATGTATTTCAGTCATTCAAAGACCCTGTTTCGGTATCACAAAGTTCAGCACTAATATTGCAGCTATCACATTCAGGTAGAAAAGCCACCTTTGTGGTGCTCAGTAAGCACACACACTGTTTTCAGTGTAGAAAGGTATTTCTCAGATATGTTATACAACATTTGTTAAATAACTACCCATTTCTTTCAGTACAAAAATAGGCTGGCTCCTAAGATGATTAATCCTTGATTAAGGTGAAAAGTGCAAGGTCTTTTCTTACCAGGCAAGGATTTTCATTCTTAAATTAAAAGACATACCAACATAAAAAAATATTACAAGACTTATAAATTTTAGAATTAGTATCACAGTACAACCTCAAATGAAGATAAAAATGTGTTTTCACCAAGGGCTATGAGCGAAGATGTTTACACTTTTTTGCGTACTAACAGCAACTTTCAACTCATTAAGTTTAGAAAAGCAGGTACATTTCAAGACAACCCACATCTCGTTCTCCTTTATATCAAACATTTACCCCACGATGAAATGAAAACTAAAATACTACCAATATAGCCACAGAAAAAGGAGTAAGTGCTATCATAGTGAAGAGACAAATTTTGCACTGACTTCAGTAGAAGAAACCAAGAAAAGAGAATTCAAATAACTGAACCATACAAATGGATGCAAACTATATAAAGCAACATGAAAAAACCTAACTGCTTGCTAGCCTTACAAATCAAACAGCTTATATCACCAGCAAGATGATTGGAACACTACTTCAGCATTTGTGGAATGAATCGTAAATCCAGCCCCTCCATCCTAAAAATGTTTCTATTTAAAAGATGATGCAGCAAACAAAGCACAAGCACATTTGTGTATACAACCAGAAATACTGACTTGACTATTATACTGTTAAAGGCTTTTCAGTTTACTTGTCATACTGAACTTGAATTATTTCAGTTTAAAACTAAATCACTCAAGCATTTACTAATTAAAAAAGACATGGTTGGTACAGTTGTTATAAATGAACTCTGTTTGAATGGTAAGTTATTAGAAAATTGTACAATCAAGTAGACATTCATGGAAATCCGTGTGATATCTTTTAAGGACTATAACAGCTGACAGTTTTGAACCAAGAGTGGCCAGTGATCAGAGAAATCCTACCACAGAATGTTCTAAAAAGTCAACCTTTTAAAAGCATATGCAAAATTCAGTTCAGGGAAAATTGCATCATAGTTCTTTAGTTCAAAAAATTTGCCACATCACATTTCTGTTGTCCTTAAAATAAAATTGACTGGCTTCCAGCACTGATAATTTCCCCATTGAATTCAATGAGCGTAGCACGCAGCTTAGATAGGCATATGGTGTTCTTTACATATGCAAAGCTCTTAGTTTATTCTAACTTTCTTCTAGAATTTCTTTCCCCAACCCATTTTTTCCCAGAGATTTCTGCCTAGAAGGCAGAAAGCTTAAAAGGACATAAGCAGAAAGAAGGTTGTTCAAACTCAGTGCTTTGCTTTCATGCACACTGAAAGAATCTGCCAGCAGTACATTTTTACTTCATCAGTTCAGCAAGAAACAAGATTGCTCTTCAGTCGACATTCAGAAGCACCAGCTTGACAATTAATACAGACATGTGATGCTGAACAAGTAGGGAGAAGGCAAAAAGGAAAAATATTTTCTTAAATCCAGCCACAAATTTAATAGAACTTAACAAGTTCACTACAAGGTTTAACTGGAGAAGGATAATTAGAAAATATACTACAGCAGATATAGAAATACAGAAAATGCCACCTTTGTGGCCACTTCACAAAACCTAAAAAATTAGAGCATGGAAAAAGGTTGAATACCAAATAGCTGCTTTTCTCTATCTCTGTCAAACCCCACTTAAGAAAACTAAGGAAATTCATTACTTGACACCTCAATGCATCAGTCATGGCAACCAAAACCATCTATGTGGATGGAGAGCTGTTTCATTTCCAGCTCTCATTAGCACAGAATTCCTTTCTTCATCTGTCTTGCGCTATCTATTAATGGGGATAATTATGCTGGCCTCCTTTATAAAGCGCTCAAAAATCTACAGCTAAAAATGTTCCTAAACAAGTAATTATATATAATAGCAATCATGTATCAAACTTCAGTTATCAACTCATCACATGAAAGCAAGAATCTGATTGTTCCTGGAATTAGTACACAAAATTCAATTTCTCCACCGACATTAGCTTCCTAATACTTCCATCATTATTACAACAGCTGCATTATGCTAAAATGCACTAAAGAACCTGTCTACCACTGACTGACATTTTGAAGCTTTTCCAAGCTTCGAACAACAAAAGACCCAGAAGTTTTTTTCAGCAATAATTTCCATGTTAATAATTTCCACCTTGTTAAACAAAGATTTTGACCAGCGTCAAGCTTAGATGTTATTCTGAATCTGCAGCCTGGATTGTTGCAATGGCTCCAATCTAAAACAGGCTGTAGCACTTTGCAAATATATTCTCCTGTTATATCCACCAACCCCTCTCTCCTTACAGGGGCTGGCCTACAAGGCCACAATTTCATCACCACCACTTACTGTCACCAGTTTATCTTCTTTCCTCTACATCTATATGTTACTTTCCTCCTTTCAGCTGCACACAATGCCCTTAATCATTCAGTGTGTTTGATGTATACATTTTTCTTTCATCTTGTGCTATTAAAAATGAAAAAATTATGAGAGGATTTGTTATAAAATAAAGCTACTTACCAACTATTGCCAGATTATGCTCTGAGCCACATGCAATCTGAAAAAGAAATATGAAGGACTAAATCAGAACCTGCTTACCATTAGGAAGACAGTCACAATTATGACAGGAAATTAAAAATTAACCTGAAACAAACAACTACACTTTGTAGGATGCAAAATTAAGGTTGAAGTGTTCTCACTCTTAAATGGAATTTCATTTGTAGCCTCACTTAAGGGCTTAGGTGCCAGGGGTGCATGTTTGTTTGTTTTTTTAATAAAAAGCTATTTTCTTTTCAAAATACAGACATGTATTTCATGGACTGGCCACAATTCTGCAAAAACATCACACCTTTGACAACACCCACTGGATCCAACAAGAGGCACATAGCAAACACAGATTAATGCAGAGACAGCTGGGAATCAAAAGGGTGATGAGGATCTCTGTATCTCTTATCTATACTTTTTTTCCAGCTGACTCCTGAGGAACTGCTCGAAGTATACAAGCTCAGTGTGCTAAACCTGACATGATATGATCCCTATGTTCATTTGCCTGGAATGGAGAACAACTACCCTAGGACTCAAACCTTCTGTTAGCCCATTAATAATGGAAATCAATTACATATTTCTTTTCAAAGCAAACTTACAGTTCACATATTTTTCACCCATCTTTGTAGCTGCTGTGAACATGTCTGATGTTTAAGTTGCTTTAGTGTACTGAGTTTTTGTAAGTTGTCCACCAGTGGTGGTAACACGGGCACCAAGAGCAGTCCCCTGTCCTTACTGCAAGGGCTTGTCTTTCCCACAGAAATTCTTTTGCAAGGTCACTGCCAGCATAATTGTCTGAGGTAACAGTCTTCACACAAGATTACTCTGCTGAATGTCCTCAAGTTTTTAATTTAAATAAAACAAATCCCCTCAAAATCTGTAGCCAGTTCACTGTCTTGAAACTACTTGCCCATTATACCTAATACTGAGCTGAAGAAAATTAATAAGCACATTCTTCTTAAAGTATACTTGCAATGGCAAAAATATAATGCAGGAGTATATGCTCAATTATATTTAAAAATACAAGTTCATAGCATCAAAAGTTTATATGGTTCTGTGCACACATAACAATTTAACTTTTACAGCCAGAGAAACAGCTATAATCACCTCCATGTCTGCAGAACAGAAACCCATAGAAGCTAATAAAACAGGCCTTGTGCCCAGCTCACTGGGCTTCAGCACTTACTGGTGAAGAGACACCCAAGACTGACACACTGGGTAGCTTGAGCTCTCGTGTTATAAAAGACTACTAAATCACTACTATTTACATTTTACCAGTGTCACAACTGCTACATGAAAACATCTGTGCAAAGCCATCCCAACACAATGGCAAGGAAGAAGAAAAAGAGTCTAGAATAAAGCTGCTTAGACAACACATTAAAGCATTTGGGAAAAGAAGGCAGGAAAAAAAATTCAAGTCACACCACATTCCAGTATGTTCTCATCTTCAGAACAATCAAGACAAAGAAGCAGGAAAAGCAATGCCTTTTTAAGAGCACTATCAGGACTGCACTGAGTCTTTTATTCCACAATACTGCAGACAGGAAAAGCTCCAAGTCCCAACCATTCAAATACATAAATCACTGCCATATCCCACATCACTATCCTCACCACAAGACTGAGCCCTACAAAGCAGCAGGGCTGGCTCCTAATGCCTATTTACTGGCTAATGCTCCCACCTGTGCTTCTCAGGCTCATAAGCTGATACCATGGAAACAAGATCCACACATGGAAACACATGCAAAGGCTTTCTAGCAAAAAAGCAGAATTCTCATCTTCACTAAGTGCTGAAAATTGGATATACTGAAGTTGCTGCTAATAGAATAAATAAATTTTATCTGAGGTGTGAATAATCTTGGCTAATTCCCTAGGAAATACACTGACACAGGCAGAGATTCAAAAACATCGGCACAAAAGAACTGCCCAGGCTGGTGGCTGACACTGCCAGGACCCACTCCAGAAACACTACATTAAAAAAAAGAAAAAAAAAAAAAAAGCCCCACTCAATCAAGGTGTTATTTAGATTGTAAAGAACCTCCCCTGACAAAGAAGCATTTTTTTGCTACACCCAATAGCAGCAGGTACAGAGCCTACAAGCCAGATAAAAGAACGCTGGTGATCTCAAACAGCTTTGCACATGTAGCTGTTACTCTGGGCACTATTCAGAGCCTCCCACTAGCCAGCTATCAGGCTGTGAGGGAATCAGTCAAACCAGGCCAGGAATTGCTGTGTTATATAGACTGGCCAGTGCTGGGGAGCTGCCCCCAAGGCAGCCACTGATGGCCAATATGCTGCAGCTCTGGGGCTGATGGGGCTGATACAAAGCACAAAAACATTCTTCTCGGCGAGTAAAAGCCCCAGTGAGGTGAAGTGCCAGCTTTGCTAACAACAGCTGGAACCAAGTAAAATCAGAAGCTGCTGAAGGCAGTGCCCTGGATTCACCCTCAACAGCTCAGAGCAAGGACAACACACCATGTACCAGCAGGAGTTCTGTGCTCCAAAGTAGAATTTAGATTAGATTTAGAGCACAAGGTTCACCACACCTCTGCCTTATCGCAGGGTGTCACCACCTGACAACACAGGCTGACTTTATAGGAACCCCCAGATAAAACCAACCTTAGAGAACTTGTCCATCATCTATGCTCCTTGCTACAGGCTATACCATCCACCCACAGGATTTCTCCTGGCCCGCACACCTATGCCTCTGGAGCTCAGAAGGGACCACATCACAGAGGTGAAGCAAGGTTGCCACTGTTTAATGTACATTGAAGCCTTGCAGGTATTTCACAACATCCTTCCTATGATAAATTTAAAATGTGGCACCCTCTTTTCTACGGGACTCCCCACAACAAACAACGATCAGCCAAGAATGATTGATTTGCTGGTACAAATACAGACCAGCCAGAGAACAGCATTGCTGAACAGATGTTTTATGCTTACATTAGATGTAATAAGCTCTGCAGTCAGTACAGGTCACTGGGAGAAGCCTGGTATTTACTGCAGCAACTATAATTTTCTGGCTACTTCTCTTCTGTCCCCACCCCCAATGTGCTGCAGAGAAATTAAATTCCAACAGACATCTGCATGCTTCCTGTGGGTACGTACATTCAGGGATGCTTATAAACACAAAATAATGCTTTCTAATTGGGCAATAATTTTACATTATGTTTTAATTGAAAAGAAAATCTTAATGACAAATCAGAGAGACTGTTACTGAGCAAAGCATTCTGTGAGCTTAAGAAACACGACCCCCTACACAGTAAACAATTCACACTACAGTTCTCAGTTTGGAGAGAAATTTGAGAAGAGTTGTGAAGGATATTGTGATCTCTATAGAAATGATCTCAAAAAGCGTGACAAATGTCTGTAAGGCAGGCAAAGAATGCTTAGGGACCATTTCACCCAGAACTTACTTGCCTTATTATCTGTGCTCTTTCAACCATACATAAATTGTTTGTTTCTTCCCTTAAGTTGTGCGCTAGCAAGCTGTTTTCTACCTGGCAATGGCTGTGGTTCAGATCCATCCATCCATCTAGATTTAACACGTGTGGTGTAAGCAGCCAAGGGACCAGCATTTTATTAATCATAAATAGTATGATAAATAGCATAATCATAGACATAAGCTGCAAAGATGGTGAGGAAACACCTTAGCACAGCAACCACAAACTCTGGGCAAAACACCAACACCTTTCTGTGGCCTACATATATGCTAGTCCTAACAAAAAATTAATTGTCTGAATGTAAAATAAATGGGTTATACAAAATAGAGAAAATATCTCAGTTAGGATTAAAATATTTTTCTACCCTACATGAAAAAAAGCACTACATGAAGAAGTAATGTTTACATATTAGATAAACATTTCCATATATACCTATGTATATATATATATATTAGTATATAGTATATTAGTAATAAGTATTTTAGGAAGAGAAGGTTATCTACTAAACAAGATATTTATCAGGGAAGAAAGTTCAGACAGAGTACCACTTTTTCTATCTAGGATAGAGATCTCACCTTTGCAGACAGCAAACACACACATCCAGGACAAGACTCCTGTGAATATTCAGACATACAGTCTCCCTTGGATTTCAAAAGGTAATTAAGAGACATAAAAACCTTTTGCCAACCATCCCCTAAGGGACTTCCGAGTACTATAACAAAACAAGTCTGACAAAGTGTATAAAAATCCAAGTTTCAGGCTAATACCATAACCACAAGGCTATTCCTTCTTTTCTTTCTGTAACCCCAGGGCTTTTACTGAGGATCTGTTGTGCAACCCACCAGGAAAAAATGGAATCGGAACTGCAGGCAAAGTCAACCTCCCACTGCAGCAGAGGGGAAGGGACAGTACAGGAGAGGGTGCAAGGAAGAGGTACAGGGAGCTGGACTCACAAGAGGGATTGCAGTATGAAAAATCACAAGCATCCAAACATCAAGGTGTTAAGCTAAAACAACAAAAAGACCTCAATGCCATTTATTTTTGTTTCACCACCCTATAAATGCATGTTAATTCCCTTTAGTGCAATTATTTCCCAAAACATCAAAGGCTGTGGAGGCTTCCATCACTTTAGAGATAAGAGCATGATGTACAAAGAAGATCTTTAGGGATGAATGAAGATACGATGTTTAAGTTGCACAGAGATTCTAGTTTCTGTCTTCCTCATTGTACCAAAGCTCTTTTTCAGGAAGAGAGAGGGTAGGGAGCAAGGGAAGAAAACCTATGAAAGGGAGGGCACATAAGTATTTTATCCAGCACTTGAGCCATGGTATCTCATGTCTTTTGACAAATTTCACTGTAAGGAAATTGCCAGGGCCAGAAGATGGCAAATTTTACTCCTTCTGAGATCAGAAGTCCTAATGGAAGGAGACGAGGTGACCGAGAGACTGCAGATCAAAGCTTACGTAAGACAGGGGAATCTTCTCTCCCAGTGCTGTTCTTCCACGTCCTTGATTAATGTATCGTAACAACAATTTGTACTGTTTGACACACTCAGTGCAACTACATTTGTATG